TAATACTCTCCTTTGTTCTCCACGACTGGTAAATGTAGGAACTCTCTAAACACTGGTGCTCTGAGAAACAAAGCAGTCATTTGGAGGTGTTTATTAGAGGGAGGGGCATTTGCTTAATACACACTAAAACACAAAATGCACAACTAATGAAGACACAGAGGAACAGAAGTCAAGTTAAATTTGTGTTGTTTCATGAATGAGAAAACATGCAGTTTTCTGCTCTCCCTCCATTAGGAGAAAGGAAACTTTCACTCACAAGATTATAATCATCAGGTAGGAGAAATGTGTCACCATGTAACGTGCTGGCTGCCAAACCTGAGAGCCTGTGTTCAGTCCCTACATGGTGGAAGAAAAGAACCAGATTCCACAACTGTGGCCCGATCTCTGCATGTACGGGTGTACACACACACACACACACACACACACACACACACACACACACTAAATAAATAAATGTCACTATAGTCTCTGAAATACATAGAGGGAGGCATTTTTTAAAAGAAAAATAGAGAACTTTTCTTTTTCACACAAATACCTTATATACTGCTATGGATATTAAAGAAAAGAATTTAGAAGATATTCATGTGCCTAGTGAATAACAAAAATCACTGCAGCCCATCATGCACATGGCAACCACTGTGTGCCTGGGACTCTTGCCCCAGTTCTAGTTTATGCTATACCAGTGCAGTAATTGTAAGTCAAGATAGCGAAGCAGGTTCTACCTTGTAAAGAGACCTGTACCTACGGGTGGGTAAGACTCTCACACTAACCTCAGCAAATAATGGCATGGGAATCTTTCTGATAGGCTGGAAAGTTGTCACATAACTTAGAATGGCCACAAGCTTTAGGCATGGTACAGTGGACATAAAAAGCACTTGCCAGGCAAGTATGAGAAGCAGTGTGGGTGCCCAGAGCCAATGTAAAAGTTACGCATGTATAGTGACTGCCCGTGATACCTGCCAAAGCAGAGGATCCCCCGGGCGCAGAGTTTAGCTAGACTAGGTGGAATTAGCAAGCTCCAAATCCAGACACTCTGCCACAATAAATAAGGTTGACAGTAACGGAGGACAACACTCTACATCAATTTCTCAGTCGTAAGTACATACATGCACACGCACACATGCACACACGCACACACGCATGCACACGCACACACACACACACACACACACACACACCAAATGCTAAAAAGAAGAGGAGAAGAGGAAGAGGAAGAACAACAACAACAAGAAAAAGAAGAAGAAACCACACACACACACACACACACACACACACACACACACACACACTTTAACAGCTACAGTCCATAACTCTATCTGGCATGAATATTTATTTCTGAGAAAGAAAAACATATCTCTGGGGATAGCCTCCTTCTCTGTCTGCTCTGTCAGAACACCACAGCAGTCAGTTAAATGCAAATGAACCATGATCACCTCATTTACATTTGTTTTAAAGTCCATGACAGTTTACATACAGAGGAAGTATAGCAAATGCACTTTTACTTCTACTGGGTCTAGAACTTAAAAACAAAAACAACAATAACAACAATAACAAAACCCTTTTTTAAAAGTCCAAGAGGGTCAACAGTGAGAGAGACAGTTCTTTACCTTTATAAAGTTAGTTCTATAGGCAAGTTCATCAAATATCTCTTTCCCAGTTGTTTTCCCCAACACTTCAGTGAAGACAGGTAATTCTGAGCAAAACTTGCTAATTTATGTGTTTCAGATTTCCATACTTTGACCAGACAGGGAGAGTAGTAACTCAACAGAAAACTGAATATATGAGTGTGCATAAGCACACACATAAGTTTGGGTATGTATATATACACATTATATACATAACGCTTCAGAACTTTTAAAAGTCTTTCATAAGCAAGCACATCATGGGTCTTCAGAGCTGGCACAGCAAGACCCAACTCAAGTGCTCCCAGCATCCTGCTTTATCTAAGGTTGCTACATGGACCACAGGTTGGGATATGCTAGACTCCTAAATATAAATGACACACAGACGTCTAGGATGGTGATGACTCCATTCAACAGCCGCTCGAAGCCAACAGGCCTTATTTGTCTAGAGCTGTCCATTCTAGTCTCACACTAAAATCTACGCTTTTCCTGTGCATAAGCAAACCTAAGCCTAACTCTTAAAGGGGCTTGCAACTACTACATTTTCATGTTTTTTCTTCCCTGATTAGAACTGAGTTCAAAGGAGTAGGTTTGCTCCTATTCCCGTGATCCTCTGGCTCTTTACAAAATTACGTAAAAGCAGGGGTGTTCTCTGCCTGGTGAATCTGTCTAGGCAAAGGAGACCTTGGGGAGACAGGGATGTCTCTTCCTAAATCTCCTGCCATTTGCCCTGGAATGGGGATTGCTAGAGAAAACATCACCTCCTCTCTCTAGCAACCTACCAGTCCAGCAGTCTACCAGCTCCAGGGGATTTGTTTTGTTTTCCTCCTCTAATTAAGAAACTGAGAAGAAAGTGTGGGTTGATCACCGAATCTTTCCCTCTACAATCACACTGCAAATCACACTGTCCTGTGAGGCCACCAAATCCCCGCAGAACTCCGGCACCGATGACAGGGAGGGACTGTAGTCCCTGCAGTCTACTGTCTGGTAGGTTGTGCCTGAGCATCGCACTCCATCGTTACCCAGAGGTGACAAGACACAGAGCACCTGTCCTAGCTGCTATCCTCACGCGTGGCTTGTACAGGGAGAGCCCTCAGTGGCTCACCTAGGATCCCAGCTTTTGCTTCCTTATCGAGCAGTGCTTTCATTGAAGTCTCTTCAAATGAACCCTTCCCTGAGCACCTCCTGCTTCCTTCTAGGACCCTGACCAAAGCAACCGAGGAGGAGGGTTTCTTGATTGTGTAATGTAACAATGGTACTGAGGAAAGGTGGATGTTGAAAACCATTACACACTTTGGAGACAGGTGTGGTTCGGGGGTAAAGCACTTGCCTAGCATGCCCAAGGCCCTGGGTTCCATCCCCAGCACTGCAAAAATAATAGGAATAGTAACAATTACTAATGGCATCATGTCTAGTTCAAGCTACAACTCTGGCTTTTAATCACTTGAACTGACAAGAATTAGAACAACTTCTACCAAAGAGGAAAGCAGAAGCTATTGACGAACAACAGAATGAACTCTTTGTCAGGGAAAGAAGTTTAACCCTGGTATCACGCCTTCCAAGTCAGGCATCCCTTAAGTTGTTCTAGATGTACTGTCTCACCTGGTAAGGTGCACTATTTGTATTTGTCAGGTGATAAAATTAAACCATCAAGACAGTAAGGACCTTGGGCTGGAGATGTCCTTGGTGTAGCTCAGGGGCAGAACACGCACACGGCCTTTCCATTTAATCCCTAGTGCCACAAACACACATCACCTCCTCACTCCCACAGCCTCAGTGCTGCAGTTTGAATACTAAACCGGTTCCCACACTCCCTTGGTTCCCAGCAAGTGCTGTTTTGGGAGGTTGTAGGTGGTCGCTGGAAGAATGGGGTCACTAGGAGGAGGTCTCCCTGCTTCCTGGCCCACCAAGATGTGGGGAGGTAGGGAGTCTCTGCCACATGCTCTGGACTCCAAGAAGCCACCTGCTACTATGTCTGGCCTACAGAGATGGACTGTGTCCCCTCAGACCACGAGCCCTAATAAGCTTCTCCCCCTCAAGTTGTTTCTTGTCAGGTATTTGATCACAGTGACATGAAAAAAAAAAAAAACACACTCACACACATGTCTATGTGCATATATACATGTATGTAGTATAAGGATTGCTGAAGGGCATGCGGCTGGCATATGATAGAACCAGGATTTGAACGTCTGACTGTGGCATCTCAGCATCCATAAACAGTACAAAGAGTTTGTGACTCCTCCCTGTGAAGGTGTGGGAAGGAAGCAGAAGGCAATCAAAGGGGAAGGGGAAGCCCAGCCTCTCTCTTTAACAGCCCCAGCTGCTACAGCTGCCTCCCATCCAGGAAATTGTCCCACAGCGAAAATGGAGATGTAGAGCATCGAACAGCCCCATAAGCCACAGAGACAAGAGCAAACTGAGGGAATGTTTATGAAAACAAAGTGCTATAAAGAACTGCTGTTGGTATGAACTATGCTGGTGGGCCATTACATCAAATCCCAAAGCAAATCCTGCCTGAACCTTTGAATATCCATGCAGGATTCCTCTTGATGCTTGTAGAATCTAACAGCATTCCGCATGAGAGAAAAACGTTACCTAAACATTAAAAAAAATGATTGAGAAACAAACTTCATGATATTTTTGAGAAGGAAAACAAAACACTGTCAACACCGTGGAGGTGTCTATGTGAACCGTTTCACCTGCAGAGCAACTAGCACTTGTCACTTTCAGAGGAGAACAATCCTTTGGCCAAACAGCACAAACACCAAGAACATACATCTTCCTAATACCATCCCAAACAGCCCATGATGCGGTTCCACAAAAGCCAGAAGTCCATCTACACCTACTGCAAAGTTTAACACATGAGACCATGGGACTTTACAGACTAGTGCATAGTCTTCCCCTCAGCGAAGGGACAGTGCTACAGGTATTCGGTGGCAAAATCATTAGCAGTCTGGAGGTTGTGGCTGAACCTGGATTCTCATTCTGCTTCCCATAACAATTACTTCCTCTCTGTTGAAATCTACCTTCCTCTTACTGAGGAGGGAAGATGTGTAGGTGGTCAGATGAAAGATGCATCTCTGTGAGTATTACACACAGCTCAGCAGCAATTGGAGGAGAAAATACATAAACAGGGAAGTGGTACTTATTCTAAACTGTCAGAAAGAGGTGCCCTCAAACCCGTTTCCCATCGGCCAAGTAATCAAACAGTCTGTTTATACATTTTCCCGAAGTACTTGCAACCACTGAAGACGCTAGCTTTTGAGCTGGACCAATACATCTATATTCATTCTGCAAACAAAGCTAGCTGTGGATATAAGAGGACCTTACAGAGGATCTGAATGTGCCAAAAGCAACCTGCGGGGTGCTCTGGCTTACCAGTGGAGTCGGTTCCGGAAGCCCTGCCGCTCGCCTGCTCCTCAGCGTTGATGAGCTGCAGGTCTGTGGATGAAGGAGCGACGCTAGGACTGGTAGTGTCATCAGAATGGGTGGTCCAGCTGCTCTCGGATGTCAAAGGGCATCTTCGCAAAGAGTCGAAGGAAGGGCATGTCCAGCAGGGCATGGTCAATGTGAGGGCTGAGAACAGAAGAAAATCCAAGACAATACAATGTAAATAGCTGTATTTGGCTTATATTTAGCACTTATCTTACTCTGATGTCACTCTGGTCCTATGCAATGGCAGCTGTCATAAAAGGCAAGGCAATACTTGGGATGAGGATGGAGAAAATGGGTTGACTGAGGTCTCACAGGGAGTCACTATCAAAAGCATATCAATGCGCTGGAAAGATGGATCAGATGATATGGTGGTTTGACAGAGAATGACCCCAATAGGCTCATGTTTGAATGCGTGGCTCCCAATGGAGGGATCTGTTTGGGAAGGATTAGGAGGTATGGCTTTGTGGGAGACCTTGTTGGAGGAGGTGTGTCCCTGGGGGTAGGCTTTGAGGTCTAAAAAGGCCAGGCCCAGAATCTTCTCTGTCTCTCTGTCTGCAACTTGTAGTTGAGATGCAAGCTCTCAGCTACTGCTCCAATGCTTGTCTACCTGCTTCTTGCCATGATGATCATAGACTAACTCCGAACCTGTAAGTCAGTCCCCAGTGAAATCCATCCTTTCATAATAGCTGCTTTGGTTATGGTGTCTCTTTATAGCAATAGAACAGTGACTCACACAGTGGGTAAAGTGCTTGCTGTTTACACATGAGAACCTGAGTTTGATCCTAGCACCCACATAATAAACAAAAATGGTTGCATGTGCTTGTAAACCCAGAACTATGCAGGCAGAAACAGCACCCTGTCTCTGGGGCTTTCCAGCCAGCCATGCTACTTTGAGTAGAGAATGGGTCACAGTGAGAGATTCTATAGTCCCAAAAAAAACAATGTATGGCTCTGCAAATTTGTGCTTCCACATACATAGACACACATAAATATAAATATATAAGTATAAATATTATATACATATGTGCATAAAAGCAGATTGAAACTTGGGTCTCTGGACCCTCAAGTTAAAAACAAACAAGAACATGAATTAAGGGAGTATGAGTAACTCTAGGGCCTAATTTTATTTCTAGATATAGATTTCAGTTTCATTCAGGCCCAAACTATGGAATTCTTGCAGTTTTACTTCCTCCATTTTAGTAGCATGTCAACAAACTCAAGAAAATCTACCAGTTTACACTACAAAACAGAGGCAAAACAAGTTTTTGGTTAAGAGTAGACACATACATACACACATGCAAGATGACTCTGCCTGACAATAACTGGAAGTTCTGCACACTGTTACATACTCAGTGGAGACTTACTAGAGCAGCTGGTTTGCAGAAAACACACACACACACACACACACACACACACACACACACACACACAATCTTCTAAAGGGAAATGCACAGGCTTTGGCTTTATCTCCTTGGCTCAGAGCACTAATCAGCCTCTAAAAAGTTTGTGTGTGTTTCCCTTTTAAATAAAAATTCTTGGTACTCTTTATTCATTCTTAATTAGCTGCATGCCACAGGCTTCTCTGCAGTGTGGCAAAATAAGTATACCATCGCAATTCTTACCATTAAGTGCTTGAAAGATAGTGAACAGAGAATGAGGAACAAATGATGCAAATACCATTTGCTGAGTATCCATTCAAAGGTCAAGCACCTTTACAAATGTTTTCGCATTCAATTCACTGACATTAGAGGTAGGTCATAGTTTCTTACAAAAGGGCAAGCCAACACAGAGGTTAAGAAACCTGCAAGATAATATGCTCAGTTATCCTGGCGAAAGCACAAAAGGTAGCTGGGCTAGGAGACAGAAAGGGAAAATTGAGATCTCAGAAAGACTAGATGACAATACTTGTGACAGAAAAAAAAATGATCTGTATTCTTTATTCTCTTGGGCATGTATGAAACATCTGGATCTCTGCACTGAGAGCTTGTTGTTCCTTTCAAACTATTTCTTTCAAACTATTCTCCCTCTGCAATTCACCTGTGAGCTTTTCTCTCCACAAATGCAAGGCTCCCTTCTATGCTATTGATTTATTCTTCAGGATCATCACTATGTGACCCGCCATATCCCTGTCTTCAGCTAGAATTCGAGATCGTTAGGGAGTAAGGACTTTCATCCGTTTTGCTCACCTCCCAGAATGCTGCTTGGTACAGGGCAGGCACTCATTACCTGTTGGCTATGTCAGAAGAAGAACCACAAATCATTCCCTAACAGTCTGTATTAAAAATAGGTTGTCAAAACCAAACCATGACCTCTACACAAAGGAAAAAAAAAAAAAAAAAAGGACACGTGAACAAATAACAGAAATAGAAAGCTAAGATGAGCTCGTAAAAGCTTGTTATAGGACTGCCGTTCCTTAGCTCAGAAGCAGGTACTTTGAACCACTGTGAAAATTTGCACTTAGGGAAAGTATACTAACATTATTTAATACACAACATAGACCTATCAAGAATGTAAAGAATTAACCAGAGGCCAAATGAAATCTGTAAACTAGAAATGTAAACAAAGCCTAGCTGATCTTCATACCCTGAGGGCCACTGAACAAACCAGAGATCTACCACTGAGTCTGAGTATGCGTGGCTCATGTGAAGATAAAGGAGAATGAACCTACAGTCAACCCAAGATGGACAACCTAACAGATCAGATGCATATATGGGAATTCCCCAGAGGCTAAACGTTCCTTTACCTTCAGGTGGAGATACAAAGAATAATGTTTACCTTAGATTTGGGTCCAAGGGACAGAGAAAAGCAAAAAATCTTCTGATATAAGCTCTTCCATGGGGATTTGTGTTTAGAATGATTTGTGTGGATCTGAAAAACTTCAGCTTAGACTTCAGATGAAATAGTCCCAGGTAGCCTCATACAGAAAAAGGCAAATACTAACCCTTTCTGGAAGAAACTGCCCATATCTCAGGCAGAATGTCCCAGGAGTGTTGGTGGTTGGTCTGATGCTTGTATTTTGATGTTAATTGCTGGTCCTCAAGATCTGGTTACTGTCATATCCTTCTTGTGTAAAGCTGCCTAAGACATTATTCCTGATTGGTTAATAAAAAAAAGCCCTGTACCTAGGAAGGGAGAAAGGAGGTAGGTATGTCTAAGGTTCCCAGGATTTGGGAACAGAAGAATCACAGGAAGCAGACAGACAAGAAGAGAGGAAAGAGGAGAAAGCCATGATGGGTTAGCATAGAAAAGGAACCACATGGGCAAGGAGGACGGACTCCGAAAGTGGTCTGGAAAGGAGCAATCCAGATGAAGGCTAAGCATGTATTTATAACATTATGAATGGAAGGTAGTACCCTCTCCCCTGTCAAAAAATGGTTAAGGCAAATGGCAATGGATGGGGGCTAGGAGGTTGTTGATGAAGTTACTGAGATAGTGTAGGTGAAAATATTTGCCCAACTCAAGGTATTATAAGGCAATTACAAAATCTAACATAGACAGGTGTCTGTGTCTTACTGATTATGATAGTAGGCTAAATAATATGACCATAATAACTATAGGGCGAAAAAAAAATATTTAGCCCAATACCATTTTATTGCAAACAACACAAGAGGATGGTAAAAGCATAATAATAACAAAGCGCAAAATACGTAGAAAATTAAGTTATCATAAATAAGAGCAAGCAAGAGGTGAGAAATAGAGTTAGACCTGCAAATAATTCAGACAGTAGGCTTAGGAAGCAGAAAACACAACTAGCTGCAGTGTGCCTGAGAAAATAAGAAGTTGGAAATATGAGAAAGAAAAATGTAGTAAGGAAAAAGAGCTAAATGGAGTTCTTGGGAACAGAAAAATAATCTATCCCAAATACAAAATTGAATAGACAGCATGAAGGGGCAAAGAGATAATGTGAAAGATGTTAAAGAGAAGTGACCCCCGTGGCAGGCAGGAAGAAGGTCTCACCCATATATCTGGGTTCTTAAGGATAAGAGAGAATGGGAGGAAGCCAATAATATCTGAAACATTGCTGACTGAGAATTCCCCAGAATTTGTGAGAGGTTTTTTTTTTTTTTTTTTTTTTTTAGATTAGAAATCCCCAGGAATGTCAAACAGAACAACTAAAAGAAGACCTCACAAAGTCATGTAATGCTAAAGACAAAGAGAAAATCTTAAAAGCTATCAGAGAACAATACATTACTTTCAAAAGTGCTCTACCACCTCCTCAACAGGAAGAGAAGCCAATGAACATGTCAGCATGCTGATAGGGAACAAGCAAAAGATAGGATTTTACCTAAGGGTGTTCTACTTTTCTTTCTATTGCTGTGATAAAACCCTCCAACCAAAAGCAATTATGAGAGAAAAGAGTTTATTTTAGTTTTCTAATCCATCACTAAGGGAAGTCGGGGAAGGAACTCAAGCAATAATTTGAAGCAGAAACTATGGATGGATGTTGCTGGCTGCCTGGATCTCAGGTTTATGCTTAGCTAGCTTTCTTCTTTTTTTTCAAATTTAAATTTTATTTCATATTTATTGGTGTGAGGGTGTAAGGTCCTCTGGAATTGAAGTTACAGACAGCTGAGAGCTGCCATGTGGGTGCTGGGAATTGAACCTTGGTCCTCTGGCAGATCAGCCAGTGCTCTTAACCAGCTGGGCCATCTCTCTAACCCATTAGCTAGCTTTCTTATACAGTCCAGGGCCACCTTCCCAGCAAACAGTACTGTCCATAGTGTGTTGGGCCCTCCTACATCAATTAACAATTAAGAGAATTCCCATACAGGCCAATTGGATCTAGACAATTCCTCAGTTGAGACCTCCTTCTCAGGTACCTCTAGGGTGCATAAAGTTGATGGTCAAAGCTAACTAGGACATGGAGAAATGCCTTCACAAAACAAAGGAAAACAGAGAATGCCTATTCTTTATTCATCTAGAACCTTTAAGACCAGATGCCATATGAAACACATTTTAAAAATGTCAAAAAATTGGTACCCAGGAGGTAGAGGCAGGAGGAAGTCACACCCAGCCTTAGCCACAAAGAAAGATCCTTTCTCAAAATAACTAAAAAGAAATGTGTTACTATCAGAGAAGATGGAATTTCTCATGATAGAAAGAACACACACAAAAAAACCTAAAAGCTATTAAAAAAAGAA